ACAGGTGAACCGAACGGAGGCGCCGTGCTGGGTAGGCAACACTCAGCGCAGTGTGGTGGGGAGAGCGTGGTGGGGGGAGCGCCCGCCGGGCCCGGCCCCCGTACCTTAGCCGTAAGGTACGAGAATCCCGTACCTTACTTAACGTACATCGGTTCTGCCCTACCTTAAAATCGTACGCTCTTGTACCTTAAGCATTTACGGTGTACATGACCCATCATGTGTACTGACCTCGGCGATGGCGATGGAGATGTCCGAGGACGACCCTCCTGAGTCCAGCTGCGAGGAGTTCTTCCTGGAGGTGCGGCCCACCTGGCTGGTCGGCTCGGGTGCGAGAGCGCGGGGCGGCCCCGAGTCCCAGGGACACACGTCGTCCGCCGTGCTTCTGGCCTGGCCGCCGCCCTCGTCCGACGATCCGCCCGGGGGATCTCTGCGGGAGGAGAGCTAGGATTAGCTTCGGGCTTGGTTAAGGTCTCCGGGCTCACTGGCCGTAAGCCGCGACCCAAGGCTCATAGCTGCCGTTCAATACATCGCATCATTTTCTTTTTAATTTCATTTGGTCTTTTGAATACAGCGGGGTCACACTGGAAACGCAAGTGTGTGGATGTCGCTCACTTGTACGTGTGTGAATATCCATTCGTACACTAAGAGGGGTGAAGGTGTGAATTTTTCCTAGAAAATTCACACGTTTACCCCCTTAAGTGTACGAATGGATATTCACACACCTACAAGTGTTCGACATTCACACACTTGCGTTTTCGGTGCATTACCGGATGGAATTTAGTGCCAAACAAGTGTGCCAAATTGAAAGGGTAGGGGGCAACAGAGCGCGACATGCCGTCAATTTGTGCCAAAATGTAAGAAGAGAGGCGTGGGGAGGTACACATTTCGGTAGCGCTTTGCAAAATACATCGCCCGCGAGAGCCAAGAAAATAAGCCTATGGCAGACATAGCTAAAAACACAGGTAATAAATTAAACAAAAAAAGGTTTACTTCGGCCAGGAAACGACACAGAATGCAGCTACCGACATGATACCAATACGTAAATAATACAAAACAACATTACACATGTCCAATGAAAAGTATAAGGGATAGCGAAAATTCTTGAGACAACTCTGGAAACTCAAGCGTCGTACAGCATCACACTATACATTGTAGTACCAATGGTACTCCAGTGATACCGGGTGTAACTGTGAATACGCTGCAGTACTGCGGGACTGCATACTCAATATGGCCTCAGGGGCCATCACCCCTTACGGGTGTAAAGAGTAGGCAAACCCGCAACACTGCTGCGTATTCACAGTTACACATGTATAGAACACCGTGAACTACAGTTCTTTGTGTAATTAGGACACCCCGTGTCCGACAGCGACAAATCCCGGCCAACGCGACACTTTTAACTGGCGCACAAAGGGGGTGCAACACAAATAGCTGTAGTAGTGTCCTGCAGTGCACAATACACAAATGGTATCACTCCTAAAACTGCAGTACCATTGGTGCCTTACGGGTGTAAAGAGTAGGTAAACCCGCAACACTGCTGCGTATTCACAGTTACACCCGGTACGACACTTGAGTTTTTAGAGAAACACCCAAGAAGTTCGGGTACAGTTGATACCAGAATATTCGATCATCTGCTGAAACACACACCATGCAGAGAAGTGGAATCATAATATGTGAAAATGTGCAGCCGTGCACCAAAACTACCACCATTGTTCAAAGTAATTGGAGCAAATAACATAGACAACAAATTATGTATTTTTTTTTAACGATCCAGAACTATGTCACACACAGTGCATTGATATTCATTTCGTAATGTTTTTCATATGAACGAGGATTTGCAATTACTCGGTGACCGCTCTTAAACGTTCAAACCGGTCAAAAATTGTTTTAATTTTAACTTAGACTTTCTTTCTTCGTCTCTCTCTTTTAATTATAA